AGAGCTCCGTCATAGCAACAACCAATCAGAGCTATCCCGCATAACGCATCCCGCACGAGTTCAGTGTGCCCTGTGCACATGGTACGGAATTTAGCAGAAAAATTGGTTACAGAATTCAAAAATATTTTTTCAAGTTGTAAATTGTATTGACAAAGTTTTTAAAAATGTGAAGACAAAGATAAAATTAACATTAAAGAGTATTATACATTTCGTGAATCAATGAAATATCGTATAAAAAGTATTATTTCTTAATTTATGTTTTCACGTAGGCGCGTCATAACCCCCTTTTCCCGTACCATGTGCACAGGGCACACGAAAATTTTGCGTGATACGTGATGCGTCTTGATCTTGTATTTGTTCGTATCAGTGTCTTGGCTCCACTATAAGAAATATAAATAATAAAAATAATGGAAAGTAAATTAATGATGGTAGAGAAAGCTATGATACCATTATTGAAAATATACATGAAGACTCCGATAACAAATTTTCGAAAAGAAAAGGTTAGGTTAACTTTAATAAAATTATTAACAATGCACATAATTTTATCTGAAAAGAAGAAAAAGAAACGTAGTATGTGGGTCAGACCAATCTATACGGTGCAACAGCGACATATAAAAAGAAACATTGAAATATGAAAAATAAATGTATTTTATTTTGAATGCAAATGTTTATAAATTTAGATAAATATTAACTGACGTATATAGCATAAATAAAATAAACGTTTTTTTAATTAAAAGACCTGCATCTTCTTCTGCCTGTAAAACATCGTTCATAATTTTGTTTTGGACGATTCTTCAATTTTTATAAGGCAGTCGTCTTAAAATGTCGCCCAGTTGCACTAAAAAACCGTCAACACCGTCAAACGGTTTGTTGGTGTCAGATAAAATTTTTAATAATTCCTTGTGAAAGTCTCCGTCAGTCGAAAGACTTCTCCGTCCTAAAACATCAAAAATATATTATTTAAACATTCTTTCAATGTTACGTCTTTCACCAATCACATAAACTAATTTAAAATTTTCAACATAAATTATTAATACAATGTACTTACGTTTAGTACCTCTGCAGCCGTTCTCGGATACACTCATGTTAATACCTGATGTGCTACTACTTGTGTCGTCATTGAAAATATTGCTCGTGGAACAGGACCCAGTCAGAAATGTCTCGTCGATCGACGTCGAAACGACGTCGTATCGACATCGAAACCGTCATATTGAGCTTGTGCGGAAGCCCTTATTCAATAACATAAATTAAATTTATATACTCACACTTGTATTATAATTGATTTGACTTATTGATATATAAGTTCTCCTTATTCACATCCATATCCGCAAAGCATGAATGGGTCAAATAATCAAAATTCTCCTTCGGTAGAAAAACATTGCATTGCATGCACTCGTAATAATCCACGTGTAACTAACAAAAGATTACAAATAAATTGTGTGATCAAGGCAAAATAATTTTTTTTAACATTTTACACATATTGACATTTCTATAAAAATTTGTTCTTACCTCTTCCATTTCAGTACAAATTATTAGATGGTTATACGAGGTTATATATAACCTAAAATTTTTCGAGCTTCGCAATTCGCTTCACTGATGGTGTTTACCGCGATGGCCGGGTGCGGGATGCGTGATGCGGGATAGAGCGTCCGTCATAGCAACAACCAATCAGAGCTATCCCGCATAACGCATCCCGCACCATGTGCCCGCAGCCTTAGGCTGCGGTCCCATGGACTGATATTTCTCGCGTAACGCGTATCGCGTAACCAATCAGAAGCGTTCCGCGTTTTCTGTTACGCCTGTGTCAAAAAGTTGCGTATTACGCGAGTTGCGTGACTTATATGTGTGAGCGGTTCTAAAGAAGCGGTATAGACAACATGGAAGAATCTGTAAGTTATCTTTAGGTATTATAATGTTGTTTTCTGTCCTTTATTTTATCTTTGTTACTATATTGTCTGTTATTATATTGTCTTCTTTCTATTTCGTTTGATACTTTATATTGTAGGTTACGTTTGATACTTTGTATTGTAGGTTATGTTTACTATACTTTTAGTCCTATTAATGTAAAATATAATTTATAATATACAATTTAATAAAATTTTAAATACTGATTTATAAAACTAAAATAATATGGTTTGTAATTATTTAATAATTATTACCCTTTGCAGCAAATTAAATGTGGATATTGCAATTGGTTTATAGCACATCAATGCCAAAATATTTTAGAGCATGAGTGCTTTAAAAAATATGATGAAAATACAGATGCATTGTTTATTGACGATAATAATGTAGCTACTATAGGTATGAACATTCACATTATATGTATTATTTTGTATTGTTACGTCCTGTGGACTCTACGATTTCTCTCTTTCAAAAAACCATAAGAACGTTTTTCCTCCTTTGGAAATTATTATTTTAGGAATCAGCGGATATCGACTAGCCAACGCATGGGTCCCCTCCCCATAAAATTTATTACCAGAGTAATACTTTTCGGAACTCGAAAAGTAAAGTGCCCTAATTGTTGCTGGTCGATAGCCGTTGAAATAATAGGTTACGCCCTGTGGACTCCACGATTTCTCTCTTTTAAAACCAATAAGAGACACACATGTTTTTCTTCCCTTGGAAATTATTATTTTAGGAATCAGCGGATACCGACCAGCCAACGCATGGTTGCTGGTCGATAGCCATTGAAATAATAAAAAAGGGAAGAAACAACAGACAAGATGGGATCAGGCCCTCTCAGACGGCAATTTCAGAAGCCTTTATTTTATGACTATTTGGTTTTCTACCCAAAAAGTAAAACTCGGAATTTTTCGGAAGCCGCTGAAGGAAATGATACCCTAAGTAAATATCAAAGGGCGACGACGACTTAATGGTCGGGTTGCCAATAAGGATGACAACCCCCTGACACCTCCCACTAATCCACCAATGAAGAACCAAAATCCAAAATCTCCTTTCATGTCCCATGATCAAGATCCACCCCCGAAAAATCATATATAAACCCGAAGCCTGCTGCCTCAACGCTTCTTCCTTGGCAGTTTCCGAGTCCACCAACGCACCTCGTTCCGTGACTCTCCAAGTTCTCTTAACATTCTTTCATATCGAGTCATCCAGTACAAGTAAAATCAGTGCGCGAGTTCGCCTGACAGACCATTTCATCGGAGCCTGCCGCCTATTTGACCATTTCATTGGAGCCTGCCGCCTATTTACCAGATACCGAAATCTCATCGATACCAACCAGTAGTAAGTCGCACGTTTTCTTTTTAATTGTTTTGGCTCGACGACCTCCTTTCCCCCAACTAATTTTTATTCTTATTCCGAAGGACTTTCGCTAGTTCTAACTTCCCCGTCCATCCACTTGCGAACTCACCCCAAATTTCCATTCCTTAAAATTCGTTTTGTGTCCACGGATTCCGCCTCAGCGTGAATCCGACACGATTCGAAGAATTTCTATTCCTTAAAATTCGTTTGTGTCCACGGATTCCGCCTTAGCGTGAATCCGACACGATTCGAAGAATTTCTATTCCTTAAAGTTCGTTTTGTGTCCACGGATTCCGCCTTAGCGTAAATCCGACACGATTCGAAGAATTTCTATTCCTTAAAGTTCGTTTTGTGTCCACGGATTCCGCCTTAGCGTGAATCCGACACGATTCGAAGAATTTCTCCTTAAAATTCGTTTTGTGTCCACGGATTCCGCCTCAGCGTGAATCCGACACGATTCGAAGAATTTCTATTCCTTAAAATTCGTTTGTGTCCACGGATTCCGCCTTAGCGTGAATCCGACACGATTCGAAGAATTTCTCCTTAAAATTCGTTTTGTGTCCACGGATTCCGCCTTAGCGTGAATCCGACACGTTTCGAAGAATTTCCATTCCTTAAAATTCGTTTTGTGTCCACGGATTCCGCCTTAGCGTAAATCCGACACGTTTCGAAGAATTTCCATTCCTTAAAATTCGTTTTGTGTCCACGGATTCCGCCTCAGCGTGAATCCGACACGATTCGTAGAATTTCTATTCCTTAAAATTCGTTTGTGTGTCCGCGGATTCCGCTTTGGCGTGAATCCGACACGATTCATTACTTCCACTATTAACAAACCAGAAATTCTACCCAACCTTCATAACTCTACTCATTTTAGTGGACTCACGGGATCCACTGTCAAACCCAAGGCGGAAGTCTCGAGCCGTAATCAAACGTTCAAGGAATCGGAGGAATCGTCGCGCGCGTTTGTTAGCCGCGCAAAATAACGTTCCAGCGCAAATCTCCGACACTTCTCCTCCCTCTTCTCCCCTCTGCGCTAGTCCCGACCGACAGGCCGAGGACCCTCCACCCTCTTCCTCCTCTCTACAAGATCCTCCTCCCCAGCTCCCCGAGCCTCAATCCCCTCTCCCCGATCCGGAAATTAACGACAGGCCTCCGTCCCCCGCCTCGTCGACCTCTAGTATAGAGATCGTCGAGGAATTTGAACTCCCTCCTCTCACTCCCCCGCGGATTACTCCTGAGAAATTCTTTAGACTAATCCGCGACATCTTTCCTTGCTCCCATCCTCCCCCAGGGACCTTCACCGTAGGCCCAGAGTTCCTGGATATCCCTGAACTCCTCGACAGAGTTCACTCCAACCCCCCTCACCTAGTCATCCCGGTCTACCTTCCCGGGGAAAGATATCCCAGGCCCGTCCCCATCCGGCTCTTCCAGCGCCTTTTCCCTCCCTCCTCCGCTATCATTACAGACCACCAATAAATCCATCACACCTCTATATGTACAAACAAACACACACACAGTCACACCCACAATATGTAAAAACGATCATCTAATTTATTTATATTTTGTCCTATATTTAATAATGTAACTATTAGTTTAGAGTAAGGTTTTAGTAAAAATAAACTATCTGATCTAATGTCTAGTAACAATAATCCTTTTTTACTTTTTTAATTCTAATGTTTAGTTGAATTTATCTTTTTACTTTAATCTAATGTCTAGATGTAGAAAAATCGTAAATATATGATGTTAAACTTATCTCCTTCAATTCTAATTTATTTCTAAAGACCTCACCCCCCTCTTTTTCGTTTCCCCTTTGAGAGTGCACAAGGTCCGTCCCAGGGTAATAGGGATTAATTTCCTTGACCCGAAATAGGACCTGCGATCGCACCGCTCTCGAAAGGAGTCATAGTGTCCTCGCGGACATTGACCCTTTTAGAGCCTTAGAAAAGTGCGTTCGGCTCGCTTCCACGCGCCTCCGAGCGTGTTAGCGAGATATTAAAATTGCTAGTTGCGTCATTCCACACCTCCTCGTCTGGAAGCCCTATCCTTCGGCTCCCGCTAATCTCTATTTCCCATATCTCCACTTTCCAAGAGGTTTTGACGTAACAGTATATTATGTGAAATTAGGTATTATGATCAAACTTCTCTCTTACAGTGAACAGATGTGAGGACACTGAACTATCATTCCCAAATTCTAATGTAGATTTGGACGAACGTTTTATAATGGCAGTTATAGATAGACCACCATTATACAATCATCGTTTAAATGTTAAAGAAAGGTCTAAAGTAAAAAAAGCAGCTTTGTGGGAAGAAGTAAAAAAAACCATTGGTAGTATGTATATATTAAAACTTTTACTGTAAAATTAACATGTACTAAGAATTTAATATTAATAACCTGTTATTAAAGAATAAGATATTTATTGTTTTCTTTAGAATTGTGTGATAAGATTAAAAAATAACTCTTTGAAATAGGTAATCTGAGTATAAAAGAATCACAAAAAAAATGGAAGTATCATCGTGACTGTTATATAAGAGCCAGGAAAAAAGTAAAACAGTATGTGCCGAGTGGGTCTGATGCATCTGCAGTAAATGTAAAATCTAATTATAGATTTTTCGAACTAATGAGACCCTTGGATGATACATTTCCGACTACATTGTATGTATTGTACAAAACTATATATAGTTTTACATACATAAAATAAAATAATATAAACGAAATAGTATTTTACAGAACAATAAGCACATTATCAACGACGGTTGAAAAATCATCTTTGGTACAAAAGGAAAATGAAAGTAACGACTTCTCAGATTGCTCAGATGTTGGACCAGATGTGTGTTCTCACGAATCATCTGCATTGTCAAGCCCTGGACGCTTATCATTCAACTCAACATCTTCATCAGTCTCAAAAAGTATATATACATATACATACATATATACATATATATACATACAATTATGTATGTGAGATTGGTATGCATATTATTTTTTCTAACATTAATTTAATTTTGTTTACAGAACGAAAGAAGCATGACCAGTCACAAGAGTTACAAACTGCTCTATTAGATATTTTAAAGATACCTGTTCCTGAAAATGATGCCATAGATGGTTTTTTAAAAACTCTAGGTGAGGCTTTACGACGTTTGCCATACCGAAAGAGAGTTATGTTGGAAATTAAATTTCTTCAAATGAGTACAGAAGCAGAGTTTGAAAACAATGAGGAGAGTTGTTAATTTTTTAATTTAACCAAAGATGTGATATTTCTTTTATTTTGTTTGAATTTTCTTTTATTTTGCTTTTAATTTCGTAATCAAAGAAAGTTATTAAATTATTAAAGACTAAAACAAAATATTCGATTTATAAAGATTAAATAATACATATATAGAAAGATCTCAAGTATACAAAATTTGAGAATATATAACAAAGTTAATGAGGTTTAAGACATGTTATTTAAAAAATTGTTATGGGTGTAACAGTTCAAATATACGTTTAGTTGTACTTACATGTCTGTGATAATAATTACATATCTTAGTTTTATTTTTCTATAATATCAAATAATAAATGTTCACGAAATATATTTAATAAAAGTTATTATTGATACATTAAATTTATTGTATATTATAACTTATTTAAATTCCTTATATCCTTAGTGCTGTATATAAATAAAAAAGAACCTTTTATCACATTTTTTAGCATGTAAGTAATTTTGAATAACATATTTAGATATTTGATTTTGAAATTAAATGTTCAAAATTCATTGCGAAATGCCTTTTTCCACTGCCATGTAACTGCACCATCTCCTTCGAAATACTCAGCGAATGTATTTCTAATCGCCA